ATATTTTTTATTTTTATGAAACATTTTTCTCAAGTCAAGCTCGAGCTTATGAGCTTTTTGACTTGAGCTGAGCTCAAGCTCAAGGTTCTAGCTCAAACTGAGCTTGAGCCTTGTACTACCTTGGCGAGCCGAGCTTGAATAGCTATTCAGCTTGGCTCGGCTTGAATCCACCCTTAGTGGTGATGTGTTTGTGAACCACAATGTTGATAATGGCCCTTTATCAATCATTGAGATACAACTATTGGTGAAAAATCTTGGGTACACTACAGTTGGTGAAATGTATTATAGGAAACCCAATGCAGATCCAGATAATGGGTTTGTAGGATTGAAATGTGATGACTGCATTGGATGTCCAGAGGAGAATGGTTGAACTTACATATCTGATAGGCAAAAGGTATATGGAATTGTACATTTGTAAATTTATATTGGTTTGCATTTATTAGCTTCTATCAAACTAATAATTTAATGACCACTTTCTTGTAAGGGTTGGTGGAATGTTTTCTAACCTTAATGTTAAGAGCTGATCACAGATATTGTGTTAGACACATGTATGCAAATTTCAATGATCGATTCAAGGGAAAGGATCTTAGAGATTGTTTGTGGGGAGATGCAATGGCACACACTATCCCCGAATTTTAGTGGCATATGGATAAGTTGAAAGGTCTGAATAGAGATGCTTATGAGTGGTTAATTGTTGTTCCTTCTAATCTATTGTCTAGATCTACATTTGGACCTAGGGTTATAAGTGATGATATTTGCAACAATTTTTCTGAGTCATTTAATAGGTGGATTTTTTATGGCAGAACAAGCCCATAATTACTCTAATTGAGACTATTCATAGGAAAATGATGAAATTGGTTCAAACAAGGCAATATATGTTGAAAAGGGATAGGGGGATAGTATGTCTCGGAAGATACTAAACAATGCCTAGGCACAAGCCAAGAATTGCTTCTCTGTGTATGTTGGCAATGAGAATTTTAAGATTGAACATTACAAGAGAAGAGTGGTGGTGAATTTGCAAGCCAGGACTTGTAGTTGTAGGGACTAGATGAAGTCACTCCTAGGGTCCATGTGTCCAAAAGGTTCAAGAAGATGAAGTGTACAATTCGTGAGGCTGAAGAGCACAACCACAATAGATGCAAGGGTCAAGGGAGAGGCAGTCATTAGAGCAATGGTATGGGTACAATGCAAGACCAACCACTCTAGGTAATTCATTTCACTTGTACTTCATTTTATGTTTGGATAAAGAACCCATAATTGTATAACTTGGAGCCTTTGACACTTTGAAAGCTTAAAACTCGCACATTTGAAATGAAACAAATTCTTAAACTTATAATGGGTTAGGAGTATATAATATAGTATTTTAAATTAGCTCAACACTTTATATCCCTGACATATATAGGTTTGTTTGGTAATCTAGTTCATTGAAATTGCTTTGGATTGTCAATTAAACTCTTAATAAGACAAAACTTACTCTTCAAGAAAAAAAAACTAAGTTCTTGGTTTCCATTCAACCAGTTGATAAGGCAAGTTGTGATTATAACAGTGCAGATTGTTGCCCTTCTCTAATGTTCTCTATTCTATATGAATTTGGTTTTTTCCAATTTGTGAAGCATGTTATAGTGTTTATCTGTTGATCAGCATGTGTGGTGTGTCATATTGACACACATATTAATTTGTTGTTTCATGTACCAGAGGTGTAGTCAAGCAATAGTGTGTCAATAATGGGTTTTGAGATGGCATTGGCACCACAGTCTCACCAAGTGTTTCATGGTAGAGGTTGTGGCATGGTCAGTGCTACATGTGGTTCCTTCACAAGTTTCTTCACAAGTTCATTCACATGTTTCTTCACAACATATTAGGGGTAAAAGAGTGTCACTACCAACACATTCTCAACTACATCAACTTCCTTCACAGGTTCATGGTCTCCTTCAGGTGTTATTAATTAATGTTTGTTGGCACAAACTAAATTATCATTTTTTCTTTTTGCATAGGCCAGTTAAAATATCCCCACAAATGGTAGGGGAAGAGGTATGGTTAGGGGTGAGGCACAGTAGAATGGTGAAAATATCACCACCCATGGTTGGGGGAAGAGGTGTGTGCAGTGGTGGAGCACAACAGGTTAGTCAAAATACAACTAGTCATGGTAGTGGTAGAGTAAGAGGTAAGGGTAGAGGTGGGGCTCAGTAGAATGGTCAAAATATCACCACTCATGGTAGGGGAAGATGTTAGCGTGGGGTGGGGCACTAATATCAGCATATCCTTTACAACCCACTCCTGTACAGGTATAATATTCCCTTGACAAGTTATATGTCATGTCAAGCACAACCATACATGTGTTGTTCCTCAATGTTTGCTCCCTTAACTTATTGGATTATGAATTTTGTGTCGTTCTTTGCAGGGAACTCAGTCAAGCACAAATGTACATGGGTGGAGTGGGAGCAATGCTTCAAAAACACCATATTAGTCAGCATATGTTAACATTCAGGTATTGTTTATTAGCTAACTCCATGAAGTTGGAATTTGCTATACCATCTAACAAATCATTGTGCTTTGTTCCATGTAGGCAAGTTAGATACTCATGAGAATGCTTGTTAGGGGTAGGGGATGGTGACCCTACCATCACAGGTATATTTTCAGACGTGTAGTGTTGTAGAAATGCTTAACAAGAGTCAGTTAAACATATTTTCTAAGCATACATAAAACCTCAAGTTTTAACAAATATGTTCCATTTTTTTTCATGTTTCATGTTGACATTGGCTGAATATATATATATATGAAACCCCAACTTTTAACAGATCTGCCTAGCTTCTTGGAATTTTACTTAGAATATCCATGGGTATTGCAACTTCATAATAAATTGACTTTTAACAGACCTGCTCCACTTCTGAGTTCTAAATGTGCAATTAACTATCTAAGAAAGTTTTACCTCTTTACATTTTCTAGTAATTCTCACCATTTTCTTTAGATTTTCCATATGCCCACTGCTAGAACACATAAGTAATGATGTCAACAAATCAGGTCTACTTCAAGTTTGGCTCAACTTGAACCCGACCTTAAGCCATTCTAACTTGAATTTGACTTGACCCACATATAGGATATGATTACTGAACACAACCCAACATGTCCCTTGAATGGTCTATCTATTCAGATGGACCTGTTCTCAGTTTGTTTTATACTTATTGAAAGGAATTGTAGCATAGCATCTTAAATTAGATTTACATATTGAGTTATATGAAAGTTGGATAGGGGTCATTGAGATTGAAAGAAGTTGTAGGCAATGAGAAGTTGGCATTTGATGGGACTTCAAATGTTGATTATATTGTGTACATTTGGACCTTTCTCTGTTTTTTTGTGATTTGATATTTATTGGCATGATGGAAGACCTTATGGGGCCAACCAGCTAAAATAGGGTTGACTGTAAACCCGAGCGACTTCACTTGTAGTTGGGAACATTACAATTTTTTTTTTTTTTTGTTTGTTTGGATGGACATTAGATACAGGTTGGAAGATCACCCAATACCATTTTGTATATAAATGGGGTGGGTTATATGTAAATTTTTGTAAATATATGGGAAACCCTTTTTTTCGTAAACATACGGGGAAGGTTTTTTTGTTATTGGCATTACTTGTATGAGAAATATAATCATCCCCTCTATTAATTAAATTGAATATTAGTTGCACATATAATCATTCACTCTATTAATAAGTTGATTTATTTTCCCTACACACTAAAAAACATGTTTTAGCTGGCAGTCTAGATTCGTCGGCACAAATTTCATAAATAGAACCCGTCGCGATATCTGCATAAAACCGCCGGCGTAGGTGGTGGCCATTGAATTGAAGCAGACGAATTACCAGCTTATCCCTTCCTATACCGGCAGTGCTTATCCCTCCCTATACCGGCAGTTATACACCGCCGGGTAGAAGTAAATAAAAATCTTTTTAAAAACTGGCATTGAAAACCACCAATACAAATAAAAGTAGACCGCTGGCTAGATTTGAAATTGCCATTTGTGTCAACGTTTCTGAACCGTCGGCTTAGGTTTTGCCCAAATTGACCAGTTACTTAAGGCGACGGTCTGAACCGCTGGCTACATTTGGAATTTACATTTGTGCCGGCGTTTCTGAACGCCGGCTTAGGTTTTGCCAAAAATGGCCAATTACATAAGGCGGCGGCCCGAACTGCCGGCTTATATCATATCCGATTGCCAGACGTAGACTTATTTATGGCTAAGCCGGCAATTAGTTGACTGTTGGCTGAGCTATGTTTTTTTTTTTTTATATGGAAGGTTAATTTCAATACTTTTTTTACACCTACAAAAATAATACCTCGATGAGAATTAAGAGCACTCCCTTGTTTATAAAGTTTGTATTCTCTCTCTTTTTTATTTTTTTAAATAAAAAAAATAAATTTGATATTTAAGACAAAAAAAAAAAAAGATTTTTCTTGGTAAAAATAAGTGGGGAAAGATGCATTCAACCCCTTGCACCACAAAGATTGTAAAAAAGTTATCCAAAATCCCAACATGGTTAATCTCATGAGTACAGCCTAAACCTCCATCTCTCTATACAGTAAAATATCTCATTTCAATGTAAAAAATTATTAAGTAAAAACAATATGATAACAACATAATATACAATACAAGCCAAATTTCTTTGGTGGACAAAATCCTGGCATCGATACCCATTGTTGTTGCCGCACCCTCCTCTCCTTCTCCTTGGCTTTGGTTTCTCTCTCCACCTCTGCTTGTAATTTCCTCAAGTTTTCCATTACTGTCTTCTCTTCCTTTTGCTGCTTCTTGTGTTCCAGCATCGATGTCTGACTCTTTCATTAAAGAACTCCCTTGCTACATCACTTTCCTCTGCCCTATCTTTCTTTAGGCCGGAAGAACACTGATGGCACTGACAACACCGAAACAATTGCCAACACCTCATTCACACATCCTAATTGTTCCCCCATGAGGAACATCTTAGCAAGTGGTGGATCCAGTGGGAACTCAACCATCTTCCATCCAAGATCTGTCAAACTGCCAACATTGTTCAGAACCTGAACAAGTTACTTTTGCCTTGTATGTAGAGTTTGCGAAGCCAACGTTGGTAACAGTCCGTGTAAAGTTACTCTTGAATGGCTTCAAGTCTGCAACATAACATCCTATTGAAGGATAATTGAGATCCTTAGCTTCGCCTGTCCTCTCCTTTGGGCAACTGCTGTTGTCACCTGATATTAGCCTCGAACCATACCCCATGTTGCACAACATTTGTATGTAGTCAGCTTTATGGGCATCATAGACCAAACCAGGGTTCTTAGCTTTCACTGGATCAATACGGCCAGAACCATAAGCAAATACAGTGTCTTCATTTTGAACAACACTCATCCGCCGAGCTATGCAAACGAGGAATTTTATTAATTTTGTGTGTGTGTTAGAATTAAGTTTAATTTAATAAAGCTCAAGATGAAATTAAAAGCTATGTTTCGAGTATCAAACTAAACTTTAGAGAGAAAATAGGTACCAGTAGTCATAAGAGCAGATTTAATGGCAGCAGGTGACCAGTCAGGGTGGAAGCTTTTGACATAAGCAGCTGAACCAATAACGTGTGGCCGGGCAAGACATGGTAGTCCCAGACAATATGTTATATTCCACTGATCCTCTATCTCCAGCAAGAGGCGAAAATGCCGCCAAAATATTTACTCCTGGGGCACTTACATCTGGCTGCATTAATATATTTTCCCAGGAGAAATTAATAGAACTGAAGACAGAGAGTGGAGAAGTGAGAGAAGGAGAAGAAAACAATTAATAAAATAAAGATGCACTAATTAATAAGATTAAGTAAGTTGTCACAAGACAACTTGCTCTGGGTCAAATCTGGATTTGGAAATGGGTATGGAGCACCCATCATCTTAACAGAATAAGGCTAATCTCTTAAATGAGACCATATCCAAATTAGATTTGGATAATCTCCTAATTTGATTAGGAAAGCGCTCCATAAAAAGATAAAAGAAGAAGAGGGCGAACCAGATTAGAAAACCACTCTCTCTTGTTCTCTCCTTTTCTCTTTTGTCTTCCGAGAAACCGTATCACGACCTAGGCTTTCAAGGACTAATTTAAATCAGTCTTCTTCTTTGTTTTTGCAAGAAAAACTCAAAAAAGAATTGGGCTCACTTACCTTATTCAATTCAACCAAATTGGATCATAGTTTTGCTGAAAACAGTGTTGCGGAACCAACTTCACCTATACATTGTGCCATCTTCGGTGGAGGGTGGTTTTAGGATTGATTTGGATGTGAACTTCCACCTTGGAATCTGTATCTATGGAATCCGTATCATGAATACATCTCCTTCTTTGTTTGGTTTCAAATATGGTTTGGATCAGTGCAAGATTGATCTAGAAAATTTAGTTTTCAAATTCATCGGGAAATCGGTTCCCGTAAGGGTTAGAAATTTTTTTTTAAATTTTTCCCAGCCATATATCATGGTTCAGCCATCCATATGATGAATTCTAAACCCTTCCAATAGTGGTATCAAAGCATTAGGTTCAGCTCTTGATCTGAACCAAAACTCAAATCTGTAAGAACTAGTCTAGCCGATTTGAGCAGTTAGTAGAAACATCTGAGAATTCGGTTCTCAGAGTGGGCCAATGATCTAAATTTTTTTTATATATATTTTGATATATTATAGAATTGTTCTATTATAAATTCTTGAATTCTTGTGTTGAAAGTGTGATGGAGATCGAACTCTTGATGGTGGCAAGAATGGTGCACACAAAATTTATTAATTTGATTATTTGGTCTATAATTAATTATTTTTCTTTTCTATAAAGAATGTATTAGTTTTTTCTGTTGTAATCAATAGAAATTAGGGTTTCTTTATTTTTTACACCGGAGAAATCGCCGGATCTTGTAGACAAGACAGAGATTTTAGATGGAGATCGATTTACAGATTGCAGTTTTGCAGGGATGCAGTTTTTGTTCAAACCCTAACCATTTTTTTTTCATTATCTGCTATTTATTTGCTAATATGATTGTAAACCATAACCGAGAATTTCATATCATTGTCTATGTGAATTGATGCATGTTATGGACACCAAACCCTCGGCTGATTTTACCTAGTTTAGGTGCAATCTTGTGGGTCGAACCTATGGTTCTTTGGGGTCAAATCACAACTCCTAGGATCATTGTTTAAGTGACCCAAAATTGATTTATGCCAGAGTTTTGATAGACACTGGGTCGAAACCCATGTGGAAATATGTGAGGTCAATATGGGGTCCCATGCCATACAAAATCAGGCTTAAGTTGGTCAAGCAACATCTTGGGTCATAAGCCTTTGAAGTAAATGGGACTAAGGCCCATAGTTAATTAGATTAAGTAAGTTGTCACAAAACAACTTGCTCTAGGTCAAATCTGGGTTTGGAAATGGGTATGGAGCACCCATCCTCTTAACAGGATAAGTCTTATCTCTTAATAGAGACCATATCCAAATTAGATTTGGATAATCTCCTAATTTGATTACGAAAGTGCTCCATAAAGAGATAAAAGAAGAGGGCGAACCAGAACAGAAAACCACTCTCCCTTGTTCTCTCCTTTTCTCTTTTGTCCTCCGAGAAGCCCTATCACGACCTAGGCTTTCAAGGACTGGAAAAACTCAAAAACAAAAATTGGGCTCACTTACCTCATTCGATTCAAGCAAGTTGGATCGTAGTTTTGCTAAAAATAGTGTTGTTGAACCAACTTCACCTACACACTACACCATCTTCAATGGAGGGTGGTTTTAGGACTGATTTGGGTGTGAACTTCCACCTTGAGATCTGCATCTATGGAATCCATATTAGGTATACATCTCCTTCTTTGTTTGGTTTCAAATCTGGTCTGGATCAGTGCAAGATCGATCCAAAAAATTAGTTTTCAAATTCATCGGGAAATAGGTTCCCGTAATGGTTAGAAATTTTTTTGAAATTTTGCTCAGCCATCTATCATGGTTCAGCCATCCATATGATGGATTCTAAACCCTTCCAACAGTGGTATCAAAGCATTAGGTTCAACTCTTGGTTTGGACCAAACCAGATCTAAACCAAAACTTAAATCTATAAGAACTAGTCTAGCCGATTTGAGCAGTTAGTAGAAACATCTGAGAATTCGGTTCTCAAGTGGGCCAATGATTTAAAATTTTTTTATATATATTTTGATATATTATAGAAGTGTTTTATTATAAATTATTGATTTCTTGGGTTGAAAGTGTGATGGAGATCGAACTCTTGATGGTGGCAAGAATGACGCACACAAAATTTATTAATTTGATTATTTGGTCTATAATTAATTATTTTCTTTTCTAGAAAGAATATATTAGGTTTTTCTTATGTAATCAATAGAAATTAAGGTTTCTCTATTTTTAACATCAGAGAAATCGTTGGAGCTTGTAGATAAGACAGAGATTGCATATCATTGCCATATTTCTCATTGATTATTGCATGATCTCCTTTTCTAATGGGCCCCCTCAATAGCTTCCTCCCCAAGAGGAACCTCACATGAACCCTAGCCCAGTAAGGGCCTATTTGAATCTGACTTTATGAAAGTTAGTGGGAGCCACTATGGTATGACCAAATTTGACCTAGGGACTGATATACATGTTCCCTCATGATTAATAAAAGTGCAATGATATAAAAAATACTGAAGGGATCGAAGATCCATCATATGGATGGTCGAACCCTATAGGAAGTTAGGGTGAAATTTCAAAAAATTTCTTTCACTCCCATCCATGAATTGTAATCCCTAATTTAGAAAACTGCATTTTCAAGGTTCATTCTTGAATCAAAAATAGACCAGATATGAAACCAAAAGGAAAGTGAGGAATATACCTAATACGAAGTAACAGTAACTCCAAACGTAGGTGCTCACACCCAAAAAGAATATCAAAACTCGCCTCCACTGAAAATAACACAATGTATGGTGAAGATCAGCAGGATGGTTTTTCAGCAAGAACCTAAATTCTTCAGCAAAAATCAAACAAGGGTTGGTGAGCACGACTTCAGATTGTTTCTTCTAACAAGACACAATATCAAGAACCTTCCTTGATCAGTTCCACAGGTGGAGATCGAACTACGTAGGTCCATGGGTCCATCCACATAATGAAAATCCAAGAACTGTAGGCATATGCAAGATTAACCCATCAGGTATTACCCTCAATGATCTTACACTTAACCTCCCAGCCCTTAATGATCATAAACTGTTCGACAAGAGAGGACCTTTCCCTCGATTGCAATGTACAGTGTTTCACTCTCTACTCACATGGATCCCAGGATTTTAAACATTTTTGTAAACAATTTGTGAAGCCATAATGTATAACTATATCTCTATATAAATATATTTTGCAAAACAATTTTCAAACATATTTGAAATCCACTACTAGTAATTTAGGTTTCCATCAGAGAGAGTGCATTCCCCGATCATTCACTTTGTCCAACAAAGGGGTTGATCATGTCACTACAATCACCCACTAGGTGAATTCTCAAACAGTCCCAACATTCCCAAGTTTTGACCCCCTCTAAGGATCTCACTGATTGGCATATCCAAGACAGCCCAATCTGACACCTATGTAGTATCATAATCGAGTCTAGGGGTCAGGTCAAACATTCCAGTTTTGCAGATCTATTTCCAAGGTCCAGAGCAATACTGAAATTTGGTTTGGTTCAGGGTTTCAAGAAAACCCACACTGCATGTACCTCAGGTCTCACCTTGGTAGCTGAGGAAAGCCACACAAACCAACTTTGCAGCATATCAGTGTCAGCCTTGGAAGGATTAATCTCCCCAGATCTATCCAACGACTGTGAATATTCTAAACTAACACGAGTCTCATAAGTGTCAAGTTTAAGGGTATTACACAGAAACACACCAAATCACATGAATCAATTATGCACTTTATTCATTTACAATAAATGAAATAGTGTACATCAATTAGATTGGATCTAAGGGCATACACTGTCAAAAAACTCCCACTTGCACTTAGGTCCAATCGGGTATAAGCCAGAGTCTCATTCTTTCCATGTGTTTCTTCAACACTTTCTATGTTAGTGACTTAGTTGATGGGTCTGCTACATTTTCCGCTGATGCTACCTTCTGAATCAAGACGTCTCATCTTCCAACTATCTTCCGCAATACATGGTACTTCCTCTCGATGTGCTTCCACTTCAAGTGGGCTTGTGGCTCCCTTGCCTGAGCAATGGCTCCAGTGTTGTCACACAATAATGGAATGGGTGATGTGCTGGATGGAACTACTCCTAATTCTAAAATGAACTTCTTCATCCATATGGCTTCTTGGCAGCTTCACTTTTGAAAATTTACTCGGCTTTGGTTGTGGAATCTACAGTGGACCCGTATTTGTTGC